TTGGAAGAGTTTGAGAAGGATAAGTATTAAATCTTCTTTAATATTTGGTAGAATTCACCAGTGAAGCTATCAGCTCAAGGGCTTTTCTTTGTTGGGATATTTTCTTATTACTGATTCAGTCTCTTTACTAGTTATAGGTATATTCACATTTTCTATTTCTTCATGATTTGGTTTTTGGTCTAGTTAGTGTATTTTCTAAAATTTGTCACTTTCATCTAATTTATTTAATTTGTTGGTGTACAGTTGTTTAAAATACTTGCTTATAATCCTTTTTATTTTTGTAGAATTTATAGTAACATTATCACTTTCATTTCTGATTTCAGTATTCTGAGTCTTCTTTCTTTTTTCTTAGTGTATCTAGCTAAAGGCTTTTCAATTTTATTGATCTTTTCAGAGGAACAACCTTTGGTTTGATTGTTTTTTCTCTATTGTTTTTCTATACTCTTATTTCACTTATCTCTGCTTTAATCTTCATTTTTCCTTTCTTCTGCTAGTTTTGGGTTTAGTTTGTTCTCTTTTTTTTCCTAGTTCCCTAAGTTGTAAAGTTAGGTTGTTTATTTAAGATCTTTCTTTTTTTGAAAGAAAACTTTCAAAGTTATAGCTAAAAATTTCCTTCTTAGCACTGCTTTCACTGCGTTCCATAAATTTGATAAGTTGTGTTTTTGTTTTCGCTCATCTCTAAGTATTTTCTGTTTTCCTTTGTGATTTCTTCTTTAATCTACTTGATTAAAAGTGTGATGTTTCATTTCCACAATTTTGTGAATTTTCCAGTTTTCCTTTTGTTATTGATTATAATTTCATCCTGTTGTGGTTAGAGAAGATCCTTGGTATAATATCTTTTTAAATCTACTGAGATTTATTTTGTGGTCTAACATATAATGTATCTTGGAAAATGTCCCATGCTCACTTCAGAAGGGTATGTATTCTGTTGTTAGGTAGAATGTTCTGTGTGTGTCTGTCAGATCTCATTGGTTTATTGTGTTGTCTAAGCCCCTTATTCCTGTATTTATCTTCTGTCTGGTTGTTCTATCCAATATTATAAGTGTGGTATTAAAATCTCCAACTATTATGTTGAATTGTCAATTTCTCCCTTCAATTCTGTCAGTTTTTGCTTCATACATCATGATAGTCTGTAATTAGGTTTATAATTCTTATATTTCTTGCTGTATTAAAACTTTTAATATATGATGTTCTTTGTCTCTTGAAACCTTTTTTTATTCAAAATTTATTTTGTAGCTGTCTCTTTGGCACAATGGACAGTGCATTGGACTTCTAAAATATATTTTGTCTGATATTAGTATAGCTGCTACTGCTCTTTTGGTTAGTATTTTCATGAAATATCTTTTTCCATCTTTTCACTTTCAATTTGTTTTTGTTTTTAGACCTCAGATGATTCTCTTGTAGGTAGTATATAGTTGAATCATGTGTTTTTATCCATTTTTCAATCTCAACTTTTGATTGGAGAGTTTATCCATTTACATTTAAAGTTATTATTGATAAGGAGGGACTTACTTCTGTCATTGTGCTAGTTGTTTCTTATGTGCCATAAAGCTTTTGTCCCTCATTTTCTGCATTACTGTCTTCTTTTCTATTTAGTTGATTTTTTATAGTGAAATATTTAAATTTATCATTTCCTTTTATGTATTCTATAGCTGTTTTCTTTGTGGTACAAAGGATCAAGATTCTATTTAAGATCCTAAAGTTATAACACTTTAAATGTATACCAACTTAACTTTAATAACATACAAAAACTCTGCTCCTTTACAGCTCTCTCTCCACCTCTTTTGGTTGTCAATGTCGCAAAATTACATCTTTATACACTGTGTGCCCCAAAACATAAAAATAATAATTCTTTTAAATGTATTAGTTTCTTAAATTATATAGAAAACAAGATTTGGAGTTACAAAGCAAAGTTACAGTAATATTAGCTTTTACACTGATAATTTTTTCTGTTTCAATGTATTAGTCTCTTAAATAATGTAGAAAACAAAGAGTACAGTTAAAATGATGGATGCAATTAATTTTTAAATTTTTGTGTATTTGAATCAATCAATATTTTCCTTTATAGCTCCAGCTTTTGACTCATCCTTTAAGTCTTTTCCACCTACTCAAAGATCAATTCTACACCTAAATGTAAAAGGTTATATAACAAAGAATCAAAATAATAACAGGAAAATATCTTCATGACTTTGGGTAGGCAAAAGTTTCTTTTCAAGGATACAAAAGCAGATCATTAAACTTTGTTAAAATTAGTAACTTTTTATAAAGATTTAAAAGAATTAAAAGGCAGACCACAGGGCAGGATAAGTATTTGCTTCTATTTACCTATATTGCAACAAAGAACTTGATTCCAAAATATCTATATCAATCTATACATAAATATTCTTATACATTAATAAGTAAAAGATACTAACCAAACACACACAAAAAATAAGCAAACCATTTGAATTGGCACTTCATACAAAAGAAGATATCCAAGTGGCTGATAAGCTTATGAAAAGATGCCCAACTTGAACAGTCTTCAGGGAAATAAATGCAAATTAAAACCACATTTTGCTAATAGTCACATAGCTAGGGGATTTGAACCTAGGCAGACTATTAACCTCTCTTGCTCTATTTACTTATATGTAAATTGGGGTTATTTACGTCCATCCTCAGGAACTTACAGTCTGAGGAAGAATAAGTAAAGTAACAGAAAACAGATAAACATGTACTGAAATATAGTGAATTATTACGTACTGAAAATCCAGAACTAGAGATACGCTGGCCATATATTTTCCCCCAAAATCAGCAAAAATAGACTTAAAATGTTCATAAGTCTTCCATCATATCAGTTTTGTATCATTCTTTGTCAACTTCCCCTTATTGCAGGGTACATGCTGTTGCCAGATTAACCCATTGAGAATGTCAGTGCATAAAGGACATATACCAGGTGCTTTATCTTAGCTCTATAAATCTGACCTCATCCTATCTTTCACTATACCCTATTAAGAATCTTAGTCCAGCTCATCTACCATTGCAAATACCCTTTTTCCTCCCCATAATAGCTACCACTTAGCTAAAGACACAATCTCATTTAATTATCATACCAATCCTATCAGGTAAGTATTTTCTTACCTAAGAGATCATTCCCATTTTATTAAAAATTGAGGCTTAAATTGAATAAGCCACTTTTCCAAAGTCATTGAAATGTTCAGTGACAAAGCTGGGATGTGAAGCCAGTTTTGTCCAACTCACAAATCCACATTTTCTGTCACTGTGCTCCACTCTCCCTGAACAGCATGAACTGTTTGTAATCTTTGTGGGCCCAAAAAGGTGGGTCCCCATGCCCCTCTTCACAAGGCATGCTGTTGGCGCCTTGACATTGCTGTCTGGCTGGGTCCTAGGGGCTGCACAGCCCCCACTCCTCAAAAAGAAACATGTTGAGAAATGGAGTGGTGTGTGTAGGATTTGAGAGTTATGAGAGTGGGGTTTGGGGGAGGGTCTCTAGAACTTTTACCCAATTCCCCGACTCCCACAGGGTCTGAACCTCAGGTAAACCAGAGCCCCTCTTACAAGTTCACACCCACCCATGCCTCTTACTCAGGGCTCTCCTTGGTGTTCCCTCATCTCTGACCCAACAGCCCCTGGCCGGACCACAGTAAGCCTAGACCTTGGACCAGTCAAGCCACTCGCCCATCATTTCGCCACCAGTCTCAGTTCCAGGCTGCCTGTGGGGGCTGCTCAGAAGGCTCTGCCGAGTATTCCCTGAAGTGGAGAGAGGGGTGGCGCAGGCAGCTGCCCACCCAGCAAGTTTTCTCTGGCTCCTACTTGGCAGAGCAAAAGGGGCATGTTTGTGTCTCAAACAGTTGGTGTTTACTGGTAATGCCATGGAACCACCCTGTACCTGATTGGGTAGTTTCAATGTTAGGAATTGATTTGAGGAGGCAGAATGCAATGGGAGCCTGGGAATCAGGAATTTCTTTGAGCCCCACCATCACGGCATAGTGCTCACTATGCACAGGCCAATTCCAAAGGCCTTACATGCATTACTCATGTAATTCGCACCACAGATCCATGAAGTAACTATTATCACCATTTTATAGGTGAGAAAATACAAACAGGAACTTGTAACTTAACCAAGAACAACGGCTAGTAAGTACTGATTATCTATCTGTAAAACAGAATGCCTGCCCAACACCAGCATAAGGCAAGGAGTCTTCTAAGACGTCAGCTCCCATTCATGAGTATTTCTTGATCTGGAACCGTTACAGTAAATGAGTATTTCTTAATCTGGATCCGTTACAGTTTTTCCCTTGCCACCTTTTTGGGTATAGGAAACATTTTTCCAATGGAGCCTAGGTAATATAGGTGCAGAAATTTCCCGGAAAGATCTAAAAGAGGTTGGTAAACTCAGCGGTGTCGGCAGACAGGGAAAGTATGTGGCTGGGGGACAGAGTGGGAAATTTACTCTTCACCGTGCTTATAAACAGGATATTTAAATCAAATGAAAAACAATTAAAGGTGTGCTTAGTCACAGGTGAATCTGGCTGAGGCACCTGCTTCAAAGACGGCCTAGGAATAAGTGGAGACCTGACGGTGCCCAGTGGCCCGGTGGCTTGCCAATAGTCACCAGGGAGCCACAGCGAGTCCAGGTCCTTCCCCCGACCACACTAGAGTGGGCATTTTTAAATGAAGAAGAACGGGGCTGGGGTGGGGAGTACCGCCCTTGGCGCTGTGCGCACCTTGACTTGCCCAGGTCCGAAGCGCCAACTTGGAGGTCCGGAGCTCACAGGCTTTGGAAGGTCTAGGGCTCCGCCGCGTGCGGGAAGCCCCGCCTGGGCTGCAGGAAGAAAAGGCCGGCTCGCCCCGCCCTGTCCCGCCCCGCCAAATTTAAGAGCCTTCGCCAACAGTTGGGGCTGGTCCTGGCTTCCCTTTGCAAGTCTGTCTCCCTTTTGCAGAGTGTCCTCACTCGCCTCTCGCGCTCCTCTCCCTGCGCGGGACCCGGCCAGGGCCACGCCATGCCCAGCCCGGTGGACGCTCGGGTCCAGCCCCCACGCTCAGGCAGCTCTCCCGAGCCCCGGTCCCCCTCGCTCCAGCGCCACTCTGCCCGCCCTGGCACGCCTCGTATTCCCCGACGCCTCGAGTCCTCCTTCTCCATCCAGGCCATCCTGGCGAAGCCCGACCCCCCCGCGCCCGCCGCCTCCCCGCCGTCGGTCTCCGCCTGTGCCGCCTCGGGCTTCTGGACCGCTCCCTCGCTGTCTCCGGCCCCGGTTCTGTCCTGGGCGTGCCCGGCGCCGTGGCTGCCAGCCTCCCTGAGCGTGGGGCTCTACCAGCGGTGCCTCCAGCCTCCAGCGCTGGGGCTGCGCATGGCTCACCTCTGCGGCTTCCAGGGCCTCGGCGTGCCAGGTACGAGGTGCCCGAACGCTCGGGTCCAAGGAAGCGGGCGGGGTGGCTGAAGAGTGGAGGCCACGACAGTGGGCACAGGGTAGAGACGTGCCTGAGTTCGAGAAACACACACGGTTGAAACTGAAGCCCCAGAGAAGGACTGGCTGAGACCAGCCCGGGCGCCAGGCTACCCCCGAAGGCTGCTGGGGTGGGAGAAGGTGTGTGTGAGGGCAGGTGCAGAGACGGAGGTGCTGGCGGGCCTGAGCGGAGCTCAGAAGAAAACCAAGGCCAGCCCTAGGGCTGTAGCGGACCCAGCCCTACTCCCCGGCAAAAAGCCTTTTGCTCCCTCCCACATCCCCTCTGGATAACCCTTGGTGGCGCAGATTCTTTCTCAAAGTAGCTCTCATCTGGAACCCATGGCCCTGTCCTTAGCTGGGAGAAGCAGACGCTAGGGGTGGTGCTGATCAGCTGGGAGCTGTTAGGAGCTGGCAAACCCCCAGACCGCAATACCAGCAATACCAGCAATACCAGCTCCGAGGCTCATGTCTGTGTGAGCTTATGCTCCACACAGAACTTCTCTGGGCCTGCCTGCTTATAGTGCTCTTAAAATAGTAATTTAGGGCTCCGGAGTGCAGGGACTTAAATCTCAATGAGAATTTAACTGTTGAGGTACTTTATCCTCTAGCATTAACATCCACCTACAAGAACTTTTGCCGTTTTTGGCTCTCTGGTTCTTTCTTCCCCATGTGCCCATAAGGAAAACAGGAGCGAAGTTAATGCAAGCCTTATCAACCCACACCAAGATTGTTGTAACACCATCTTACTTGGTTCCTACTCCCTAGGATTCCCCCATCCTGTGTTTCCTCAACCCCTTCAGCTGGGCATTCCTCCCACCCATGGTGAGGAGAAGCCCTGGGCTCCCAACCTCATTCAAATCCATGCCACGCATCTGGGAGCCACACCTATCGCCCCAAGCCACGTTCTTCTAACGTCCCCATACACCTGAGGTTTGAATTGCAGTTAACTACTTTATATTAAAGTTGTCTCATTTTCAAGTTAGTTTTTGAGTAGGCATTACATTCACACAGTTCAAATGTCAAAATGTTTCTAAGATACACGGAGAAGAGTTTCCTCTACCACTAGGTGACTGACCTTTAGTCATCTAGTTCCCCCCACCCCACAAGCAGCCAATGACACCAGTTTCTTTATTCTTCCAGAAGTATTTTATGCATATTTAATACCTGAATACACATGCATACACATCCCCCCCATACTGCTGTGAATATTACTCTTTTTACTTGATTCTTTTTACTTTTTACTTGAGATTTTTCCATATCAATCTATACAAAACTTCTTCACACTGCAGAGTGGTCCATTATAAGGATGTATGTTAATTTATTTAACCAGGCCCCATCGATCGTTTCTCATCTCTTGCTATTATGTTTATGCTTATGGTAAGCTGTTGGGCTCCGTGGTTGGGGTTCTGGGCAGCCATGGTCCTGGCCTCACTCCCTTTGTTGGGGCAGTTTGACTGCCAGCGCTGGAGCTTCCCCAAGGCTGGTGGGAGCTGAGGGGTATTAGTGCTGCACTTGCTGTTCCTCTGTCTGGAACAACCCCTCCCTGACAGCACAATGGCTCACTTTCTCATTCTTTTCAAGTTATGACTCAGGTATGTCCCTGGTGGACAAATCTCCATCTCATTGGCCCACACCTCAGTGAACTGAATAGCACTTCTGTCTGCATTAGAAAAAGGAACTCCTTCCTTCAGGTAGACATAGTACATTGTCAGGGGGCAAGAATTGGCCTATGGAGAGTGGGCAGAATTTTAGACTCCACTAACTCTCTCAGCTGGGTACCCATATGCAGGGCACAAACTACATACTGACCCTGTTCAAATATCACCTCAGTGAGGTGGCTACCTTTCTACAGATGCAAAAGATTCTCTGCACACACACATTCACCCTGTCCTTCCCTGCTTTATTCTTCTTACTAGCACTAATCACTTCCTGACAAACTTAATGTTTTATTTATATTTTCTACTGTTATACAGGGATTTTCTATTTTGCTCTGGAACCATGTCTGCCACATAATAGACATTCAAAAAAGTATCTGTTTAATGAACGAAAACGGTAAACCCTTGGGGTCCCTTTTCTACCCATCCTGTGGAGTTTCCTGAGGTGGCCAAGGAAAGGAGTGGAGGGCAAGGAGAGATGGAGGTCTGGCAACCTCTCTTAGGGCCAGAGGTTAAGCCACTGAGTTGGAGAATAGTGGAGGCAGAAGGAGTCTCACAACCTTGTCCCTTCTGTCTCATTTGTTTGTTTTCTGTGGTTTCTGCACATTCTCATCCCACTCTGCCTCTTGCTGTTACCCAGCCAAGGCCAAAAGCAAGGTAGGGCAGTGGAGCTGTGAGCATGTTCTCTCTCTTCCAAGATGGGTGGGTAGGTGGGTGCTAGCTAATCTCTTCTCTGCTGGTTGCTTTTTAGGTTTGGAGCTGGCTCACTACACAGGCCTTTGGGGTCCTCCAGATTGGGCCCCAGCAGAGGAACTTCAGGACACTGAGAGACCCCAAAAGAGGGTTCGAACTATGTTTAACTTGGAGCAGCTAGAAGAGTTGGAGAAAGTGTTTGCAAAACAGCACAATCTGGTAGGGAAGAACAGAGCCCAGCTGGCAGCCAGGCTCAAACTTACGGAGAACCAGGTATGAACAGGGGCTCCTGTGCGACCTGGGCTACACCTGGGGACAGATACTTCTCTCTGGAAAGCCCTGAGTGGTGATTTGGAGGAAGACATGGGGCCTCCTTCCTCTGTGCCAGGCCACCCCATTTGAAATTACATTATGGGAACAATGTATGACATTAATCTAGAAATTTATATTTTCATACTAAATAAGGCACTGACAATGAAATTAAGTAGGTATTCAAGGAACTAAATATTAAAAATAATAGGATGTGGTTCCGTAGTGTAGCGGTTAGCATGTATGCTTTGCACACAGAAGGTCCTGGGTTCACGCCCCAGTGGAGCCACAGTCCATGATCTACGGCCATGCCACCCTGAACAAGCCCAATGTCTGATCTCGGAAGCTAAGCAGGGTCAGGCCTGGTTAGTACTTGGATGGGAGATCACCTAAGAAGACCAGGTGCTGTAGGCATAAATAATAATAAATAATTAAAATAATAATAATAATAATGATAAACATTCCCTTGACCCTCATATTCCTTTCCAGCTACTGCTCCATTTCTCTGCCCTTTTCACAGACGAACTCAACTGGCTATGTTCACTGTCTCCATGTCCTCACTTCATATCTACTCCCTAACTCATTCTGCTGTGAATTCTTTAAACTTTGAAACTTCTCATCAAGGTCTCTGATGACCTCCACGTTGCCAAAGTCCACAGATGCTTGCCTTTCTTATCTTACTCCACCATTCTGTACAGTCGACTGCTCCTTTTCTTATAGAAACACACTCTTCTCTTGGTTTTCCTCTCAGTTTTCTGCCTACGTCTTCTCTTTGCCTTTGTAGGCTATTTTTCTTTTTGTGACTTCAAATTTTTCTCCCCAGCTAATCTTATCTATTCCAATGGTTTTAAATACCATCTATAAGCCAATGACTCCTCAATTTGTATCTTAGCTCCACCCCCTTTTCTGACTTGTACATCTACCTTCTCGAGGTCTCCACTTAGATGTCTTATGGGTAGGCATTTCAAACTTTAAAAGTCTAAACTTCAATTCTTGACTTTTTTTCCTCCCTACATCTGTTCTTCTCCCCACATATGACCCCACCATCCACCTGGTTTCTCAAAACACATAGTCATCCTAGACTTCCCCTTCTCTCACTTCCAATCCATCAGTGAAGCCTTATCACCATTCCTTCCAAAATACAACTGGACGGTTTCTCAAAACACATATTCATCCTAGACTTCCCCTTCTCTCTCACTTCCAATCCATCAGTTAAGCCTTATCACCATTCCTTCCAAAATACAACTGGAATTGCTTCATTTCTCTCCATTGTTCCCACCCCATACCAGCCCCAGTTCTTGCTGGATCACTGTAAGAGCCTCCCAGCTATCTCCCTGCATCTGCTTTCATCCATTTTCACACAGCAGCCAGATGTGCCATTCACCTGAGTTATAAATAGGACTATGCCACATTCCACCTAAAAGACTCGAAGTTGATACTCCTTACCCATGATCCTCATGGCCCTGGGCGATCTGGCCCCTGCTGACCTCTTCCACTTTCCCTTCCTTTGCTTTCCCCTCTCACTTTCAGGTGTGCCAGCAATGCCCTGCTCCCTTCTGGTCCACAAACCCTTGATACTACCTTAGAGCTTTCCTACAGGTTGTTCCCTGCTCTGGCCTGCTTTTCTCTGTCCCCATCAGGCTGGCCTCTCAATCTCTGAGCCTTGGCTTAAGTGCTGGTTCTTCAGGGAGAGTCAAACCCCTGTTTGTACCCCCATTTGTGTTTATATATTTGTTTTTTTCTATGTTTGTTATTAGTCTCTCTCCACTAGACTGAGCTCCATGAGGACAGGGACCATGCCTCTATTGCTCACTGCTGTCTTATCATCACCCATCACCTAGGGTAGTGCTGAGTACATAATAGGAGCTCAGTAAATACTTGTTGGATGAATGGATGAATGAACGATAACTGGAATTATAGGGAAGGATGTTTTGGAGGCGATGCTTCCCTTAGAAGGAAGAGCAAATTTTGGCCAGAGTGAAGTGAGTACTGTGGGAATGGGGGAAGCAGTGGGAACTGCTGGTCATATTCCAATCTCTGCCCTACTGCCTCCAATTACAGGTGAGGGTCTGGTTCCAAAACCGCAGGGTCAAGTATCAGAAGCAGCAAAGGCTGAAACCACCAGCCACATCTGCCATGGCTGCTTCCATGGACGAGCCCTCCAGCAGCTCTGACACCAACATCCAGAGAGAAGACACTGAGTCAGGAGCAGACAACTGAGGACTGGAACAAAGGCTCATCCCAGGCTATCTGGACTAGCTCTTCCTTGGGGCACCCGCTGGACCTCCCTGCCCCACATCTTAACACAGAGTCTCGTCAGGGTCAAAGGGCACCAGAGGAATCTGAACTGTTAAGAACTTTTCTGTATTGATTCCTATGAGCTGCAATAATATACTGGTCAGAGGCACAGACTTTGGCCTTTAGCTATGTCCTTGACCACATTAGTGAACTTCTGAGCCTTTTTCTTCACCTGTATAATGGGTGTGTTGATAACTTAGACCTCCCAGGGTTAAGATGATGTCTGTAAAGCACTTACAGTGTGCCAGGCTCAGTGCTAAGTGTGTGGCAACTTATCAGGCTTATAAGGCTCCCTTCATCTGAGGGATTGGTGTCTGTGTCAGCCCTGGCTTCTCTAGGAGCTGATCTTTTCCTGGCCTGGCTATGGAGGAAAGGGAGCCTCCCAAATCAAATGTCTGAGCATAGAAGACTCTTCCTCATCAGAGATGGTAGGGTTGACAGCAAAGAGGAGGGAAAGGTAGACCATTTGGCCCACTTCCCCTCACAATTTCCCAGTTTTCTCATTTGTCTGAATTGTTACCACTCAGAAGGAGTTCAGGCCCAGCTACCTCCTTACAGTAGACATGCTACCCTGACCACCATCTCTTTGCCTCTAGCTTTGACCCCTCCCCCCCTTTTTATATTGAGAAATTTGACTCTGCCTTTGCCAAGGCTGGTGTTTAATTATAAACTCTGCTGTATTTTCACAAGACACTTATTATTTCCCCATTCAGAGCCCTGGCTCATAATTCCCTTTCCTTCCCAGGAATCCGCTCGGTTTATGTCTAAGCTGCCTAGCTAATAGCCTTTCCCAGTCAAGATGGCCACCAGCATTTCCAGAGCTGATTTCTCTAGCAATCCACATTCCTGGGTGGACCTCTGGTGAAAGTATTTCTTTAGACTCTAGAATGCTTTCTGGGTGCTGAGGTGGAAGGAAGCCGGCACTGCCACCTGGTGGTGAGAGAAGCTCTGGAGTTTCTGAGCCAGGAAAGGCAGGGTGCAGAGATGACCTTGGAAAACCACCTGCCCCAAAGCAGTGTACCATCCTCTCCTGGACAACAGGCTGCAGGCTTGAGGGAGGCCAGGGTCCAATTCCAAGAAGTCTTCTCTGTCCCTATCTTCAGGGAAATCCTTCCTAATGCTGGATCCAAATTCAGCTCTTTAATCAAAGGAACCTGCTGAATTTCATCTGCCTCTTCCAGGAACAACTGGCTCATTTTTTTCTTTTTTAATCAACAGTCAGTTACCAATTCAGCAGTTACTGGGCTCTACCCAATCCCCAAATGTCACCATGAGACGGTAACAGCAGACAGAGGTCCCTTTTCAAGGGCACAGAATCAACTGGAGGACGAGGAAACAAGACATGGTGGTCAGGCCTGGCTGTGAAGATAGATGCTCTAAGTCAGTGATTTGCGCTTTTTGGGGTCCCGAATGAGAGTACAGCCCTTCTCCTGTTGTCAGGACAGTGTGCATAAGCACACTCACTTCTACATACAATTTCAGACCTGAGGTCCACTATGGACCCTTATCTGCCCCCTCACCCCAGCAGGCTGCAAAGTCCCTAAGCCTCTGAAGAGTCTGAGATAGCTACAAGTCCAGCTTGATGATTCGTAGGACTGTCTGCTCTGCTGCCAGAGGGCCCACGGAGAAGGGAAATCTTGTGCCAGACTTTGTGGGGTAAGCTAGTCCTTCTCTTTAGGCTGAGGTTCAGAGAGGATAGGAGTAGCTGGGCCCGCTGCTGTCCTACCCCTCGGCTGGGTTCAAAGACCGCTTTACAAAAGACGGGTACTGAATGGACAGAGACAACAACAGACAGACACACAAACATAAACTCGACACAGATGCACACATCAAAACTATACACCGCACACAGGCTCTGACACAGAGGTACATACTGGTCATGAAGACAGAGACAAATGCAAAACTTCACAGATATAAAAGCACAAAGGCACGTCCAGCTCCCCGCAGTAAACGAACCAATGGACTTAAACATACGTAGGTCAAAGGGACCCAAATTCGGAATCGCGGGTGCATAAACCCCGGCAGCTTCCAGGACACTCACGCCGGGGGCGGGGCCAGGAGGGGCGGGGCCTCTTGGGGCGGGGCGGGGTCAAGGGTCAGAAGGCGGAGGTGCGCCCAAGATGGCGGCCTCCATGTGCGACGTGTTCTCCTTCTGCGTGGGCGTGGCAGGCCAGGCCCGGATTGCCGTAGAAGTCCGATTTGTGAGCAGCTCCAAGGTGAGGCCGGGGCGGACCCCAGCAAGAGACCCCACCCCGTCGGCCTTGTAGACAGCCCCGCGAGACCCCATGCCTGGATTCTAGAGGCTCTTCTGCCGCTCCCATGCTGCGGCCCGGCTTCTGCTCGCTGCCGGGGTGCTCCCGGTCCCCGCGCACAGGCTTCCGGTGCGGTAACGCGGTGGACAGGGGCTTCCAGAGTCTCTGTGCAGGCCCCCTTCTCGCAGAACCGGCTTGCACTGTGGCAGCCCTAATGCGGCTGCGCCAGGAGGAGTCTGGGGCCAGCCCAGGCTGGGGGACATAGCTGCCGGGCCCTCGTAGCTTTGGGCGGGGACGTGCTGAGCAGAGAGAACTGAGGTGTAAAAAAGCGAGTCGTCAGGGAACTTTCTGAGTGAGATTTGGGTTGGGGGTAAGGAGAGAGGCCAAGACCTTCACGGAGGGCCTTGGAGTGAGTGCTAAGGAATTCGGACCGGAGCCTGAGGCCCGTGACCATTCGAAGGGTTTGAGGAGACTGACATGATTTTGTCGTTTTATCGTTTTTTTTAAAGTTCGTTGTAGAAAAAATTTTTTAAATACATGTAAAGAAAGAGAAGATAAAAATCACTTATAATCCTATTCTTGGTCAAATATGTGTATATTAAATCATTTTTAGAAACTTCTTTCTGATGTGGCCGTAAATCTATATCAATAAACCTATTTCTATGTATTAATTTTAAAGAGTAATAGTTAATTTCATGGAAGGGCCACAGTTCTCTCAACCAAATACTTATTTATGGGCCCTTACGTCTTATTTTTCATCTCTGAGGTCAAAGGTGTGGGAGCTCATTTTCTGTGCACGCATCCTTTTCTCTCAAGCACTGAGTATTTTCTTTCTTAGTTATTTTTGCCAGTTGATATGTGCAAAATGGTATTGCTTTCTTCTCATTTACATTTCTTTATTTACTAGTGAGGTTGAATAATTTATCCGGTGTAGGGGTTGTGTATATCCTTAGTTTTTGCCCAAGATAGCAGCCTTTTAGTCATCTGTCTCCTGCTGTCAAGCATGTTCATACTGATCCAGTTCCCCACCCAATCTTCCATTGCCCTTTTTCCACACCAGAGGCATCTGGAGCAAGCATTTCTCTTCTTCCATGGAAAATCAACTCTCCTACATCCTTGATCTGCTCAGCTGCTCACATTTCCATCTCCACACTAGGGCATCTGGTACTCCTGATCGGATCAAGTTGGTGGTGTCTCAGTTCCATTACTCTCAGCATGCAGAAGTATTCACTTTACCTTCATTAGCCTCCTATCTCTCAGCCCCCTTCTTTCTTCACTTCTTCCCTCTCACTTCATTACTCCAGCTACTCTCCTTGTCTAATTGTGCTGTCCCAGCCTTCTGTCAAAATCCCAGCTCTGGAAGAATGAGCTGGCCACCCTCTCCATTACTACACCTGATCTGCTGCAGAAGTAAATCACATACCTACCCAGACTTAGTGACAAGATAGATTATCATGCACTTTTTACATCTGTGAAACCAACATCAAGTGATATTGGTTTGTGATTTTTTGTGCTGTTGTCCTCAGGTTACCACATAAGTTATGCTCGTTTTTTAGTAAAATGGAGAAGCTTTACACTTTTTGTTATTGAAGTTTAGCATGACAACTATTTGGTTTGACAGAGCTGGCTTGTAAAACTATATGGAGTAGGGGCCTCATGTGGGATAGTTGACCACTTTATTCATCAAGTGATATTGGTTTGTGATTTTTTGTGCTGTTGTCCTCAGGTTACCACATAAGTTATGCTCGTTTTTTAGTAAAATGGAGAAGCTTTACACTTTTTGTTATTGAAGTTTAGCATGACAACTATTTGGTTTGACAGAGCTGGCTTGTAAAACTATATGGAGTAGGGGCCTCATGTGGGATAGTTGACCACTTTTTCTATTGCTTCCATAGATATTGCACACTAGGGCATCTGGTACTCCTGATCGGATCAAGTTGGTGGTGTCTCAGTTCCATTACTCGCAGCATGCAGAAGTATTCACTTTACCTTCATTAGCCTCCTATCTCTCAGCCCCCTTCTTTCTTCACTTCTTCCCTCTCACTTCATTACTCCAGCTACTCTCCTTGTCTAATTGTGCTGTCCCAGCCTTCTGTCAAAATCCCAGCTCTGGAAGAATGAGCTGGCCACCCTCTCCATTACTACACCTGATCTGCTGCAGAAGTAAATCACATACCTACCCAGACTTAGTGACAAGATAGATTATCATGCACTTTTTACATCTGTGAAACCAACATCAAGTGATATTGGTTTGTGATTTTTTGTGCTGTTGTCCTCAGGTTACCACATAAGTTATGCTCGTTTTTTAGTAAAATGGAGAAGCTTTACACTTTTTGTTATTGAAGTTTAGCATGACAACTATTTGGTTTGACAGAGCTGGCTTGTAAAACTATATGGAGTAGGGGCCTCTCATGTGGGAGTTGACCACTTTTTCTATTGCTTCCATAGATATTGGCAGGGATGCTTTTTAAAAATTTATCAACTATTATGCCAGAGATGTGACCCATCACAACAGAAACCCGACCAAATACAGTGGATGCCAACCAAAATGCCATACTGGTGCACTACAGCCAGAAAACAGCACTGCTTATTAGTCTGTCTAGGCTTGCTTACTTTTGTATTCAGTTTTGGTAATTTATATTTTTTATAAAATTGTCCCTTTAATAAAGATTTTAAAATTTACTGCATAGTCTTAGAGTTTTGCACAATCTTTTTATAACAATAATTTTTCAAATTGGAAATATCTTTGCATAGTTGGTGCCCTTTTCATTCAGGTTCAGTTCTCTCCAAGCTTCTTAGAAATACAAATTAAAAGCTATTTTCTTGAAACACTTTTATGTGTTTTGGGGATAAGTAGCTTCATAAAGGAATAGCTCTGCTTTTTGTTTTGTTTTGATTACTGAATATCTTTTACATTTGGTCTTTGAGAAAGAGATCAATATATATGTAAATTGCGATTTGAGATTACCAGATAATGTTGGCTCTTGTTTATATCTTTTTGTCAAATAATGGGTGACCAAGTTTTCATCTTGCTAAACTGAGTCCCAGGGGCTACAAGGCGTAGAGGTGGGGCTTCCAGGAAGACAACCAAGAGTGCCTCCACGGCTTTGCCCAGAGGTTTTGTTCCAGCTGCCCCACTCTACTGTTAGAGCTCCTAGAGTTGTTCACAGGGCTGAGATTTGTGGCTCTGGGTTGCTGAGGGCCTGTCCTAGTTAATATTTCCCTGCTGCTCTGACTTTGGAAGGTGCCCCTGTCTAGCTAAAGCACCAATGCTAGAAGGAAACAAAGAGCTACCCAGGAGGCCACATGACAGGACATTTCACTGCTGTGTTGATCATTTTTCTTTCTTTCCCTTTTTGTGACAGTTCAGTGTTGGCAGGGGCACCACCTCTCTTCTCTAAGTGAATAGCGGGAGTAAGTGCCCAGTGGGGCCAGTAACTTGCTTGTGTTCTGAAGGTGTCTCCTGAATCCCTTTGCACATCTATCTGACAGATGTCAGCTTGGCGATTGTTTTCTCATCCTTCATCCCTTACCTGATGTGCATGATGCTTTAGACCAGTGCTTCTCAAACTTCAACATGCATACAAATCACATGGGCATCTTGTTCAAGTACAGATTCTGATTCAGCAGGTCTGGGCTAGGGCCTGAGATTCTGCATTTTTAAGAGTCTCCCAACTGATGCCCAGGCTGCTAGACCATCCCCTCACTTTGAGTAGTAAGGAGCTAAAGCTCATGAGGCATGTTCATCTGTGCCATATCCTTGCATCCTGGAAATACCTAGGAGGTATTATCATAATACTTACTTCTCATATGGGAAACAGATACAAAGAAGTGAAGAAATTAGCTCAGAGGTTACAGCAAGTTAGCATTAGGACTGGAGCTAGGATTAGTCATTTCAAAGTAACCCTTTGAGAAGTTTTTGGGTGCCAGGTACTATACCAGGTGCCACAAGTACCCAGTCAACCAGAGAAGTAGGGCTCATTCTCCCCCAAACTAGGCCTCCCTCTCCCATGGTGTAGGATTTCTTTGCAACTCTTAGTACTGCCAAGATCTTGGAGGGGTGTGCGGGAGACTCAGAGAAGGCTGCCTTGCCATTACAGCTTCTGTTACAGGAGGCCCCAGCCTGCTATGAGCCTTGGTCCTGCTCTGGCCATTCTAAAAATTCTCCTCCTCTGAATAGTCTGAGATCCTGATATGTTGGCTCCCTCCTCACCCCAGACCCTCTGCTCTGTACAGGCTGAAAGAAGTGCGACTAAAAGTAGGTCAGAACTGCATTTCTAGAGGAAGCAGTTATGGGGTGCTGACCATGCTCCATGAACCCTCCCAAGGCAGAGGCCGCTGCTGACAGGGAGCATGTGGGAGTGAGGCTGGGCGGACCTTGGGAGCCCTTGGAACTACGTCCTCTGTCTCTTCTAATGGCCATCCTGTTCCTTCTCTGCCTTCTTAGGGGAAGGGCCTATTTGCCACACAACTTATCCGGAAAGGGGAGACCATCTTCGTAGAACGGCCCCTAGTGGCTGCACAGTTTCTCTGGAATGCACTTTATCGCTACCGAGGTGAGCACATCTCGCCCACTCTTCTGGCTCTTGGGCCCAGCTGCCTTTGTGCATGGAAGAGAGCTGCATACATCCCTACTGGTGGATGTCTCTGAGACTCTAGGTGTTGGGAGGAAAGGCTATCTTCCCTTGGAGAACTGCTCCTGAGAACCGTGCCTCTGTTTGATCTAGGGCTACTTGGGACTGTGAGCCTATAAGAGAGAGGCTCTTCCAAAGTGCTCCCTGGGGAGAGGATTGTCAGTCAGGGGAACTCAGGGACTAGCCCCATAGCATAAGGACTGGACATCATGCTGAAGGGCTCTGTACCAAAATGGAGCCCTCTACCAAGAGGAGGCCACATGCCCTTTGGTCAAAAAAGGCTGTGTTAGGGGTCAGAAGGAAGGAGATTCTCTTAGCTTTGCCAGCCACATGCTTTTTTTACACTTTTCTTAGGCCAGAGACAAATTATGGAAGGAAGGTCACTTGGCTCTAGAATGTGGAGATAACCCAGTCTGGGGGAGGGGAGGGGAGCCCCACAAACTAAGTCCCATAGAGAAGCAGGGAGAATCTGATAGGCATAGTGGGGACTCCAGAAAGGGAAGAGTGAATCATCTACCTTTCAATGCCTGTGAAATTCATTCATTCACTCGCTTTCCAAATGTTTATTGAACACCTATTATGTGCCTGGCACTATTCTAGCCCTGGGGATACTGCTGTGAAAAGGACAAATATGGCCTCTGCTCTCAGTACACTTACACTGTTACATCTGGCTCTGTCCCTCAGCCTGCGACCATTGCCTCCGGGCACTGGAAAAGGCAGAGGAGAATGCTCAGAGGCTGACTGGGAAACCTGGCCAGGTACTGCCTCACCCTGAGCTATGCACTGTGCGCAAGGACCTCCACCAGAACTGTCCCCACTGCCAGGTGAGTGTCCTTGGGGAGTGTACCTGAAAGCGGCTGACGGAGTCCTCTGGGGAGACAGGAGTGAGGACAGCCCTGGTCACGGCCCTTGAGAGGCAGAGTAGGATAAGACATTGAAAGGTTCAGCTAGTGTTGCAGTTCTGTCCTCCCTGTTCCAGTTCCACTGTCTAGAAAATAGGCTTGGCGGGAGCTTGCCTTCTTCCTAGGAGCCTGGTGGGGGGCTCGCCTCTCAACCAGCAAAGCTCTTTCCCATGATTTTACAAGCCTGGATTAGGTGCCTCCCTCACCATATGCTTTCTCATGTCATAATACCACTGAGCACAGGTGCTGTTTGTGGAAGGAATGCAGTTAGAGGAGGTGAGTACCACGTGGGATGTCTGTGCTTCACCCCATGGCCTGATCCTAGGGTGCTGACCTCCACCTCCTCCAACAGGTGATGTACTGCAGTTTAGAATGTCGGCTAGCAGCTGCTGAGCAATACCATCGAGTCCTGTGCCCAGGCCCCTCCCAGGATGACCCCCTGCACCCTCTCAATAAGCTTCAGGAAGCATGGAGGTAGGTGGCATTTTATCTCTTTTTTCCTTTATCTTTCCCTCCCTGCTTGCCTGCCTGCCTGGGCTCAGCAGATGCAGCTGTCTTTCCTAAGTTTCCCCTCCCCACCTGCTCCCCGCCCCACATTTTCCCCCCATTCTTAGAATTAAATAGAGGTCATATCACCCAAGCCCCTGTCTTTAGTCTGACCTGCCAGTCCCACCAGCCTCAGCACTTTACACACTCCTAGAAAGAGTCCCATAGGAGTGTAAAGCCCTACCTGAGCCCTTGCGGATGACTTTCTTTGGTCATGAATAGGGTTGGTAGGAAGGATTCTCTGTAGCAGTCAGACTTGACTTCCTTGAACTCAGCTATCAGGAGGGAATTTCAAGGCCAAACATTTTTGTTTCTTCCCAGAAGCGTTCACTACCCCCCTGAGACTGCCAGCATCATGTTGATGGCCCGGATGGTGGCCACAGTAAAGCAGGTGAGCCCACCTGATCCTCCTCGGGAAGCTGACTCTGACCTCATTCAGTCCTCGGCCTTAGTCTCCTCCTCACCTCAAGACCCTGGCTTGGATGCAGAGTTCTTCCTGAGCTTCCCAAGGATAGCTGCTTGCTCTGTAAACCTTAGGAGTCACTAACAGTAAATCTGGCAGGGGAACTGGGGGCTCATCTTGCCTGTAGTCTTCGATCTATGAGAAGACTTCTTGTGCCGCTGCAGTTCATGCATTCGATTTGTAAGTGCCACTTTTTTAGGATTGTGTCTCTTACATAAAGCGAGAGAAGCCATTCTAACCCCTTCTATTAATATTGCTGCTCCTCAGCCTCATTTTCCCGTTTTTTCAAGTGTTGAATTGGCTAGCTTGGCTCCAGTTGGGGAGGTGGTTAGGGGTATACAGGGTGGGGAGGAAGTCCCTAGGCAGGGGAAGGGGTCTACCTAGAAGCTCAGGTGTGATGGTGTTTCCCTCATGGCATGGGCTTTAGAATCATAGGCTACCCCTCCCACATGGGTGAGAGTGGCAGTAAAGATGTGGCTGTCTATGAGTCCCTGTGTGCACATTCATGCATGGGCATGTGTGAACATGACCTTGAAATATATTTGTTCACTGTAGGCTAAGGATAAGGATCGGTGGATCAGACTCTTCTCCCAGTTCTGTAATAAAACAGCCAATGAGGAGGAGGAAATTGTCCACAAACTCCTGGGGGACAAATTCAAGGTTCGTCTTCTCCCATGATACCCCCACCCCCAATACCTCAGATGTTCTGTGACTGTGTAAGGAGAGCTCCATGTTTGGTCCCTTCCCAGCCACAGGAAGGGGTTAGAGTCTGAGGCCAAAAATCTATTCAGAGGACTCACCTTCCTGCTGCTGTTTAACTTTGTCACCTTAAGTGGACCTAAAACTGGGAAGTACGGCGATGACAGAGGAAGGTGGTGTTGGGTGCCCTGATGTGGAAAGGCAGGACTTCTGATAAGAGCAGTGTGCAAATCAGGTATAATAGAAAATGGAGGGTTAGGGGTTCACAGGGTCAGGGAGCAGTATGAAACAGGAGAATTTTAGCTGCCAATATACTGAGTGCCCACTCCCAATCAAAGAATTACAAATTCTCACTGAGGACGGCAGACTTCCACACAGGAGCTGCCTGAAGGTGGAGGCAGGGGTGTGAAAGTGCATCCAGAGTGGGCTTTCCTGCATTGAATTCTGAGGAAAGGATGGGGAAAGTCAAGCTGATCTGGAGGCCAGTTTGGGGAGCCTAGAAGGTGGTGGTGAGGATACATGTTCCAAGCCCGGCTTCCTCAGCCTGGCCGGTATGAGTGCTGGAAAATAGGGAGGGCTTTGGGGTTCACCAATCTGGGTGGAAGGCCAGTGGACTGTCATGGCTCTTTGGAGATAAAGACTCTGTGGCCTTCCTTTGCCCCCAGGGAAAGCTCAGTCTACAGAGCTGGCCCTTTTCCTTCTCTTGCATGGTTTTCTGGGCCCCGCCCGGGTGCTAATGGGAAATCCTCAGGGATGCAAGTCTCTCCCTGCTTCCCCTAAACCAGGGCCAGCTGGAACATCTGCAGAGACTCTTCACAGAGGCCCTTTATGAGGAAGCACTCAGCCAGGTGAGTGTGTGGAAGGAGGGACCAATGTCCTCTCCAGTCATTCCAGCTCTCCAGGAGCAACTGAGTCAGCATCTTCTACTGGGACAGCTAAGCCTGAGCTGACATGGTCTTCTGGAGTTGGGATGGGACTGACTCATGGAAGACTTCCTGAACAGAGAGTTATATCAGGAAGAAAAGCAAGTGGCTGTAACCTGAGTGCTCTTTCTCCCCCACAGTGGTTCACTCCAGATGGATTCCGGTCTCTCTTTGCTCTTGTTGGGACCAATGGCCAAGGAATTGGGACCAGGTTAGGAGACAATGTTCCAGATATATTGGACTTATCCCTCAGGGCTCTTGTGGGAGATTAACTGAGGAAGGTTGCCACAGCTCCCTTCAGGGTTAAGGTGGGGCATGGTGTGACTTTGTGGCCAGAATGCTGGACTGGATGCAGTAATGGGGATCAGAAAGACTGAGGTGGGTGGAGTCTGCTCTTGGGAGCCTTGGTCTTTTGGGGAAGTGAGGGCTCCCAACCTGAAGAAAGAAATGGGTTTAACTTGCCCGGAGGTGTGAGCTGGGCCTTCTCTCCAATCACGGTTGCCTGGGACTCCCAGCTCCCTGAGCCAGTGGGTCCATGCCTGTGACGCTCTGGAGCTGAAGCCTCAGGACCGCGAGCAGCTGGATGCCTTCATTGACCAGCTGTACAAGGACATCGAGGCAGGTTGGTGAGATCGAGAGGCACTCCTCCCATCAGATGGTGGACCTGGTCTTCCCCAGGGACCTCTGAGTTGAGGGTGGGGGACATAATCCCTGTATGACTGTGGGAAGCTTCAGATCTATTCATGAGACATGTAGATGAGAAATGGCCCTGAGATCCATGCAGAGGCCCAATGCTGGGGGCGGGGGAGTGCTGGACAAATAGGGTGTTGTTGTTTATAGGAAAACAAGGCTTATGCCTCAGAGATGTAAGTTTAGTTGAAATGGTAGGGATCAGGTGCATTAGTGTAGTGGGGTGACAGAAGAGTGAGCCAGTATGCCTGTCCTTATAAACCTAGTTTCCTTTTCCCTATAAAATGGGTAGAATAACATCTGCATATTACTGTCTTACAGCAACTGGAGAGTTTCTTAACTGTGAAGGATCAGGCCTCTTTGTGCTTCAGAGCTGCTGTGAGTTTTGGCATTGAGGGTGGCCTCGCAGCCACAGTTCATCTCTTTCATTTGGCCCCTTCTAGGCTGATGGGGTTGAGTCTGAGAGTGAGGTTAGGTCTGAGCTTCCTTGGAGATTCCTCTCGGCCTTTTCGGTCCATCAGTTTTTCATTCATTCATTCATTGAACTGCTTGTTCCTTAAAATATGTTTATATATAAAACCTTCCAGTAGGCCAGGCCCTGTGCTCTGGCAGGGCGCAGAGCTCTGATTTTCGTAAAAGAAGCATGGGCTGTGCACCACCACTGCCCTGTGCGATTTGGCAGGGGAGTGTCGTGAGAGCCTGGAAGGCCCTCAGTATCCTGGGAGGAGGGAGCTCAAGCTAGCAGGCAGTTTCATCACCACCTGATGGGGAGGGGTAGAGTTAGCTCAAACTATTATCTGTTCAATATATCCCAGCCTCCCACCCTCTGGTTTTCTCACTTCAAACCCCTCCTCTGAGGCTCAGGGGCCACTCTACCCTCCCAAAGTAGGCTTTCAGAGGGCCTGATTCAGCTGTTACCAGACATCCAGTAACAGAGAGGACTGAGTTAGTGGTCTAGCCTGGGAAGCCTTTTCATAGAGTGATGTGAGCGTGCATTTGTGCCTGTGCTATATGGTCTTCAGGAAAGAGCACTGAACAGGAAACTTGAGTTCCAGGACCTGGGCAGCCTTCACTGAGATCAGAGAATAAGGAAAGATGGGACCTAGTGCTCTGCAGAGTTGAGGCTGTTATTTTCATTAATCAGCAATCCTCATTACCTGCCTCTTATGACCCAGGCAACCACAGCTGTGTCCCCAATGCAGAGACCTCCTTCCCAGAAAACAACTTCCTTTTGCATGTCACCGCCCTGGAAGATATTAAGCCAGGAGAGGTGAGGGGGCTGTGAGCTGTGGGTGGGTAAGGGTGGGAAGTGGGCCTTCTCTCCAGAGACTGGGAGCAGCAGTGGCTACAGCCCCAAGTTCAGGCTGTTGAGTTTAATCCCCTGTGCCCCAGGGCATGTTTTTCCCATGGGTATGCTCTAATTCCACTCTACTTCAAAAAATAAATCCAGAAAGCCTCAGAACAATGTTTGAGAGACAGCTATGTGCCAGGTTCTTGTCCCCAGACACCTTTCAAGCAACAAATCTGAAGCTTCTAAGAAAGGAGGAGATGGTTCTTTGTGGCTTGGGCTATGGGGTGCTAGCTGGTATGGTTTTGGGGTCCTGGCTATTAGCACAGGGCACAGAGCCTTGTTGAATCTTCTTCTAGGACAAGTAGCATTGCACCAAGATAACCTCTGAACCCAGCTATAGACCTTGGCCCTTGACTGCCTTTAACCACTGCTAGAGGCTAATGGCAGTCACCTCTATCTCAGGTGCAGATTGTTAGAGCCTCATAGTGGCCTGCTTTCTGAGGGCACAGGGGAATGGATCAGGGTAGCCCACCCCTTCGCTGAAAGGCACCTCAGGCCCCTGGGAACAGGGCAGTGGTCGGGGAGGTCCTAATCCCATCTAATAGAAAGCACAGACCCCACCTCTCCTCTGCCCTCCAGGAAATCTGTATCAGCTACTTAGACTGCTGTCAGCGGGAGCGCAGCCGCCACAGCCGCCACAAGATCCTCAGGTGCCAGCTGGGGACGTGGTGGGCAGCTGGGCTCTGGGGTCCTCCATCCTGGTGGCTGCCTAACTTTTCACCCTCACCACTATCCCTCCACCCCCTGCAGGGAGAACTATCTGTTTGTCTGTTCCTGCCCCAAATGTCTGGCAGAGGCTGATGAACCCAATGTGACCTCAGAGGAGGAGGACGAAGAGGAAGAAGAAGAGGAAGGAGAGCCAGAAGATGCAGAGCTGGGGGATGAGATGACTGATGTGTGATGTTGCCCTGCCTGGAAGGGGCCCTACCCCAGACCCTGTCTTAAAAGGGGGCTGCCTCCCAGAGAAGAGGTTTGGAAGCAACTCCCTACTCCCGTTGCCTGCTTCCCCTTATCCCAGCCCTGTTTTCTGCTGGAGGGTAAAACAAAGGCTGGACTCTAGATGCTCCACCCCCCACCAGATGTCATGCCCTGGACACTGCTGCTGAGTGGCTCAGGTTCTGCATTGTCACTGAGCCTCAGAACTGGCTTCCTCATGAATTACTCCACTCTAGGGTGTGAGCAGCTGGAATCAAGGTCAGGGCTGAACAGTGCTTCTTCCCCTTGGCCCCACTGCCACACTTACCCATTCACCTGAGGCTTTACCCCTCTCAACTTGCTATGGAGAGGGTGACAAAGTGGCAGTCTAAGAACAGCTGTACTTCATTGAAGAAAGAGAAGGTAAGATGCCTTCATCTTCTTCCCCATCTCCCACCACTGTAGCTGATAAAGCGACTGCCTGACCACTGGCACAGCTGGGAGAGGCAGGAAGGAAGAATTGGGCCTCCAGAGCACCTTCCCTAAGAGTCTGTGCCGGGGAACACTGAACCAGGGGGATTACCTCCCTCTCCCAACTCCTACCATTTGGACATCTGAGGGAGTGGAGATTAACCCCTTCCCCAAACTCCAGAATCTCTGTACCTTGTGCCTTGACTCTCAGGCCCCAGCATGGTGGCTAGCCCTGTGAAGTATGAAGAGACCTCTTCCTCCCTCAAGAGAGGTGTGTAGGGTATCATCACCCCTTCCTCACAGTCTTCTTCCCACTGAGGACTCCAGCACCCCTGGGGGGCAACAGGTCTGTGCTCCTTAATTTAGGATGTTCTAGTCTTCCCTGGGACCACTTGAGCATGGGTCAGTGGGGGGCTCTCTGGCCTCAGTCTCCATCTTTAGGGTCTCCACAGGGGAGCATTGAAGTCTTCCAGAAACCCAAGGAGCTGGGCAAGATCCTTGGAGATTAGCCCTATGTCCCCCTGCCCCCAGATGAGCACTACCCCTCACTCCTGGATTGGGCGCTGTGGGAATTATAATCCATCATGCACAATTCCTTTCTGCCTACCTTCCCTGAGGGGCCTGCCACATCCCCCTGCTGAGGGATCCCAGGCAGGCAGGGGTCTGCCACACAGGCCCTTTCCTGAATCATGAGCCAGGTATAACTTACCTATCTGGCCTGTTGAGTTCTTATTCCTTCACAGCAGCCAGCATCCCCTCCCACCCCTGCCTGCCTACTCTTCTCAATAAAATGAGTGGTGACAGG